GTAAATTTTATGACTAACCTCTCGAAAAAATCCCTTATATTTGATTGTAACCGATTTTAAGCGATTATACTGGCATAAAAATATACGAAAAATAATCTATTTTTCATGGATTATAATCGATTTTAACGGATTATAATGGATTATATTGATATAAAAAATAATGGATGCTATTCAGGGGCGGATGTAGGATTTTCTCGAGGGGGGTGCGGATTTTCAAAAAATTTTCGAAAATTTTGAAAAAACAGTCCAAAACAGCGTTTTCAGGCACTTTTTGGCAAATTGCGTTTTTTTTTGGGCGCCTTTAGAAAAATTTTAGGGTCGATCGGCGCCCAAAATGGATTTCTTAAAAGTACCAAAAGGAGGGACCCTTTGGGTCAAAAAGGGGTCGAGTCCCCGCCCCCTTCCCCCTCTTAAAACCGCCCCTGATTGTAATCCTTTTTAATTCGATTATAATCGATTATTTTTCACGAAATTTATTGAGACAGACCACGAAAATTCAATATAATCGATTATTATTCATGGAATTCCGGTGCGGGAACCCACTGGTTGCTGAGGCGGTCAAACCCGGAGAGAAAAGCTTCCGCTCCACTACGCTCCCTCCCCCCTAAATCCGTCCCTGTTTTTGTGAATCGCAGATACAACAGTTATTATTTTATGAAATCAATTTTTGGCTGATTCAATTGTAAACATTTATTACAAGAAGAGTATGACTAGCACTCTTCCACAATGAACGGAAATGGCAATAGTTTTTTTTAAACATTACGAGGCCAAACTGTGCACTGGATAGGCGCCCAATTTTGTGTCTCTATGTTTCTGTATTCCCCTATATAAGTCTTTAAACAAGTTAAAATTTTGTCGGAACGATCAAAGGAAAGTAAAGAACAAAAGAAGAACAAAGGGAGCGTCCTTGTTGCGGAATCCACAGCCTGGCCACGTAATGAATGAAAAGCAGGTAAGATGTGATAAAAGGATCCCCGTTAAAACCAAGCGTGAGAGAGAGATAACAAATTACATCAATTTTAGGCGAACACGGCAAATAATTAACTCAACATGCGCCGGTCGGCTGTTTTAAAGTTTTTCTCAAACGTAAATAACATGCCTCATTCGCGAAACTTATTTGATCCTTTAATTGACATCATCAAAGCACTAAATTACCCGGTTTGACATCCATACACCGAAAAAGCTTATCAGACAATACCATACATCATGTGAATTTTCGTACAACTTCGTACAATTTTCGTACAACTTCGTACAATTTTCATACAACTTCGAAAAATGGTTAAAAAAAGATATAAACTAATTTCTGCGTTGTTTGATTCTAATGAAAAAGTCTGGTGATGAAAAAACCAAAAAAAAAATGATTATTATACAATTCCTATTATGGAAATTATATGACTAGCACATAAAATTTTGAAATTGCCCCTTTTTTCAGTCGCAAATCGAATTTTGCACTCAAACAAAGATTTTCCAAAAAAACTTCTTTGCACACAAAATATAATTGTGTTGGATTTTTTCCTTTTGGCTCAATAATTTTTAAAAAAACGCTGAAAACTCGTCTTTCTTTTGTATGGCATAATTATGTATGTCTTGCCAATGTCTGATAATTAAAAAATTCAAAGTTTAATAATAATCATCGTTGAAAATTTTGCCAAAATTTTAAATTTTGTTAGTTCCGTTACATCATTTGTGAAGGACAGCTGTAAGACCATTCAGGTCATTTTCCAGGCATTGTAAATGCAAAATTGTCCAATCTTTGGTGCTTTGAATAAACCAAGGTCTTTGTCAAATGCGCTCGGTTACGAACATAAACCAAAGTTTTTCAAAAACTTAATTTGGAAAAAAATCAAGTTTTTGTTTTATGGAAAGAAAACGTATCCTACAATTTTCATATATGAAAAAATGCTTGTCATAGAGATTTCAAACAATTTTTTGTACGTATGGAATTGTACGGAACTGTATGGCAAGAGTTTTTTCATATTTGGAAATTGTATGACAAAAAGTTTTGGTCAACCCGTGTAAACAATTTGAAGCACTCTAATTACTTTATAGACCCATTTACTTTATTCGGATCCCTCTATTACAAAAGGATTGTTGTCAAAAAACAGACAACTTTTATTTCATATCGGTCAAAACTAGACGATTTAATAATTTTCAATCAAAATTCAGAACAGAGAGCAAATTCAGGAAAAAAAGTTACTAGTTTTTGGTTTTTTTATAAGTTTGCTTCTTGTTCTCAACTTTGATTGGTTAATATAGTAGTTATCTATTTTATGACGTACCATTTTACAACTTGTCTACTTCTTGCTATTTAACCATCACATATGTACCAAAAGTTACTGACAAACTTTTTTTCATATAAAAATCACATGAATTGACAAACGTAATTTTCACATTACAACTACATAAACCGCCATGTGTAATTTTCACATAAAATCACATAAATTGACAACTAAAATGTTCACAGGAAAACAACAAAAGGACAAATTTAATGTTCACATAAAAATCACATAAAATGAAAAAGTAAATTTTACATAAAAATTACATAAAATGGCAAACGTTATTTTCATATAAAAATCCCATAAATTTGACAAACGTAATTTTCACATAACAATTACATAAAATGTCATGCTTAATTTTCACATAAAATCATATAAATTTGACAAACGTAATTTTCACGCAACAATTACATAAAATGTCATGCATAATTTTCACATAAAATCACATAAATTGACAACTTAAATGTACACAAAAAAACAACAAAAGAAACATTGTAAATTTCAATTAAAAATCACATAAAACGAAAACGTAAATTTCTTCTAAAAAATCATATAAAATGACATACGTAATTTTAACATCAAAATCCCATAAATTGACAAAAAAAAACTTCACAAAAAAAATCACATAAATTGAAAACGTAGTTTTCACATAAAAATCACATAAAATGAAAACCCGGGTTGATCTCCATAAACCGAAAATTACATTTCCCCACACCAAAAATGCTTATCATACAATTGCCTACATCAAATGTATGGAAAAATGCTAATCATACAATTTTTTTAAAAAATTTCCAAGTAAAATTGAAATTGCCCCAAAAATTTTTTCGGTTTTTTTTTCAACCTTAAATCGAATTTTGTACTCAAACAAACATTTTTCAGAAAAAAATTTGCATGCATAACGTAGTCCACGATGCACAACAATTGGAGTTTTTTTCCGTTTCTCTGGATAACTTTTTTTAAACAGGCTAAAAACTCCTGTTTTTTTTGTATGGCATGTTTATATACCCTTGATCAATGTTTGATAAGTTGAAAATTCAATTTAAAAAAAATCATCTTTGAAAAATTTTGCCAAAACTCGAAAGTTTGATGCTTTCACTATATCATTTATGAAGTAATCACTTTTACAATTCAGATCGTTTCCAATGCATTGTCAATGACAGACGATCAACCTTTTGGGAACTCTAGTGTTGAGTACACCATGGGTTTAGTCATTTGTGTTCGGTCACGATCACATCACAAAAATTTGAGAAATAAAATTTAGAAAAAATCAATTTTTTGGTTTATGAAAAAATGCTTATCCTACACTTTTCATTTATGAAAAAATGCTTTTCCGAGAGTTTTTCTTAACAATTTTCTGAGTCTATGAAACTGTAGGAAATTGAAAGATAAGCATTTTTTCATAAATGGAAATTGTAGGATAAGCATTTTTGGTCAACCCGGGAACGTAATTTTCACATAAAAATCACATAAAATGACTAACGTAATTTTAACATCAAAATCACATAAGTTGATAAACGTAATTTTTACATAAAAATCACATGAAATGACAACGTAATTTTCACATAAGAATCCCATAAAATGACAAAAGTATATTTTACATAAGAATCACCTAAAATGATAAGCTTACTTTTTTGTGTGGAAATTGCGGCCTTGTTTTTCAGAGAGATTTTATCGATTTTATCTTATAAAAACTAAAAAATCCTAATACTGACTTTAACACAAAACACTCATTTTGGTTTGTGGAACTTTCGTTAAGAAACTGAGTCTAGAGACAATATTTTGTATTAAAAAATATAATTTCTATATGTGGTCGTTTATTTTGAGGTATATACTCATCCTACCTGTGGCTCTGTTCATCTTTATGCAGTTTGTCAATGTGTGTTTTCTTGAACTATATGGTTGAGTTATTTGGACCTTTTGACAAAGAAAAGTTAACAACGAAAAGTGAAACAATTACTTCTTGTGCTTTCTAAAATTGTTTATTCTACGCTTCTTGAACCTGTTGGTTCTCGTTTTCTTGAACAAAAGAATAGAACGCCTTCTAAGTTTAGTTTTTGTATCGATGCTGCAAAAACAACGATATTCACGAGAGCGAAAAATATTATATAATAAACTATATCAAACATAAATCTAAACATGTTTAAAATGCAATAAGAAACGTGTTATCTCAGATAAACAAAACCAGCTCGAGCGCAAACAATAAGTCCGAACAAAAATGAGAAAGAGATAATTCCAAAACAGCATGTATATTTTGGATGGCAGTTGTCTAAGAAATCTCTAAGGACTCCCCTGATTCAATCAAAAGGTAAGATGTTCGATGCCCATCAGGATCTAACCTCGTTGCCTGAAGGCGTTAGGCATCACATCCTGGCTCAGAAAATAAACAATAAAGTATGTTGCAAAATAGTTCTTACTAGAGTGCGTCGAACCGCTTTACCTTTTGCATGCAAACTTACAAGCACATCCAGTTGACATTTACCACTTTAAATCTGTAATATAAAAGCTGGATCTACTATACAATTGCCCCCTCCCACCCTTTCAAGAAAGGAGGCAATTGTTAAGTATACTTAACAATTGCCTCCTTTCTTGAAAGGGTGGGAGGGGGCAATTTTGTTGCAATCTGATAAGTCGAAAAGTCGACAACTTAATCTATAGATTAAGTTGTCGAATTTTCGACTTATCAGATTGCAACAAAATTCGAAGTTTAAACAACTCTTTAAAGCTAATTTTTCCGCTTTTATTTATGGTGGCAATTCTTTAGTAGATACCAAAGGAATGGTGATTTTGAACTAGATGCGTAAAAGCCAGTAGTTTATTGAACATACTGACAATTACTATTGAGTGAAGTTATCTAGTGCCCCCCGGCATTATAGTTACGTGGGTTGATAAAAATGGAATCTACAGAAGATAATTTTTATTGACAGTCTCGATGTATTATTATTTGTGATCAACAACCACATGGCCTTGACCTCTCTCGCTGTCCGTTCAGATCTCCACGCAAGTCCCCTTTTTTCCCGTCCATTTCACGATTCTCTTCCTCTCTGTCAAGCATCATTTTGACAAGCCCTTCGAATGATTCTTTCACGCCCACACCCGACTTTGCCGAAGTTTGGAACCAAGTGTCGAAGTTTTCGCTCTCGCACAAAAAGGACCAGCTTTCGTCGGGCATGCTTGCCAAATCACACTTAGTCCCTACGATGACAAACGGGGTATTGTCGGGAAGAAAATTCGAACTTCTTTGGCGCCATTCTTTCACGTGGGTCAAAGATGTGTCGTCAATGAGGCTGAAGCAGATCATGACCCCAGACGCGCCTCGAAAGAAGTTGGAGGTGACTTCTTTGCTTCCCGCGCGTTGGCCCATCAGATCCCAAAACTGAAGTTTAACTAGTTTTCCCTCGAATAAAATCTCTTTGTACACAAAATCAGCACCTATCGTAGGCTTGTAGTTGTCACTGTAATGGTCTGAAAAGAAAACCTATTACACAAGGTAATGAGGATTATTTATTCTAGGTTTTGTGTATCCATAACAAAAAAATGTCAATTTTGGCGTTTTTATTAACAACATCCCCTCTGGAAAAAGTCTCCAGCCGTAGTTTTCTGTATGCGTATTTTTCGATAATATAAAAATCGTCTTTTGAGCACAAAATTTCTGAATTCCTCCCGCGTTTTTTTTTATTCTGCGCCGCAAATAATTTGCTTGAAGTATTTGCATTACACTTTTAAAAAGAAATTTTTGTGAAGAAAATATCTCTTTATACTTTTTGTATATCTGTTGAGAAGACAAGTTTTTCCTGTCCTCCCATCCCCGGCAATTGCCACTTTGAACAGCCTGGATTCCGTCGGCTCTGCACTACCGGCTCTGTTGCTTGACTGCATCTAGTTAAAATTTCCCGGCTGTCAAATAAGACAAAAATATCACCATCAACTGAAGTTTTTATTTCGCAATGTAATAAATAATTAAATTCTGGTAATCATTATTTGATAAATTCAGCTTGCGAATGTAGTTTGACATGAGCTAATTGGTATGTTTGTAACTATGCAAGATAAACAATTATAAGCCAAATTTGTAAATTATTTCAAATATCATTTGTATCAGTTGTTAGAAATTATTTGTCATTGACATTAGAACAAAGGAAGCCTCTATCGTCTGTATGAACAGACACCAACTGAAAGATTTCTAATCGACAAAAAAACTTGGCTGGCGATTTTCTTTAAATAGGATGATCCCTATTCATTTTAATAATTGATTAAAGTTTGATAAGTTTGGTCTTTTTCTCGTTTTCGTCCAAATGAGAAAGCGAAAAATAGATCAGATATCAAACTAGACGAAAATAAGTTTTCTTCAACTTCAAAAAATATATGAGTCAAAATGAAGTCACGCTTTTGGATAATTATTTAAATTAACTTGCATAATCATTGCCTAAACTTTTTCCTTTGCAAGAAGCTTTGCGAGACTTTTATTCTAGTTCCACTATGGTCGAGTAGTGGAATATAAGTATTGACGATTCCTGAAAGGGAACAGATTTCTTACTAGATTCTCACTTGATGTTGTAATTCCGTTGTTTATTGCACTGCATAGCTGAAACCTAAACCTGAAATACAGCTCGATAAAGGTTTTTGAACTAAAAATCTATCAAATTTCTGGAAAATAATAAGGATATCCGGTTGCTGTGCAAGTAGCATTGAATGTTCCGACCACTTTCTCAGAAAAATGTTCAACTTTTTTTTCTTCAAGTCAGTATTTGTTCTTGTAGCCGTGTGATGATAGAAGTATACAAACCCGTAGAAATTCATTTAATTAGGCATTAATGACTACAATTGTCTTCAAAAAATATATACAAAAAGATGCAATTTTTTTTTTCAAAAACTTCTTTAAAATTTTTTTATTCTTCAATTTTTGCATTAAGTTTTTTTGCCAGAGAAGCGCTAAGTAAAGCTTCCAAAACTACGCGGGTTGAGTTCACATTGAAAATAAGCACTACCGACGAAGTGTTCCAGAAACCATTTATCGTCAATAGTTTATTTAGGAGAGTAATATTATACAGACAGGTAAACAATAAACCGCATGTAAAAATCAAACCCACCAAGGATCATGCAAAAAGCTATGCAGCTTATCGAGGCATGACCCTGAAAAAACCTATGACAGAAGTTGCGAGATAGTATCCGACTTGATGATTCAAAAAAATAAATCTAGAAGATCTCCATTATCTTTAACAAACAAAGAAAACAATTTTTTGAAATGCCCATTTAGCTGATGCTTTGTTAATTGGTTTAGGTTATCTGGTATCAGCTCGTTTGATTTCAAAAAATTATAACATTTAAGAGACACATTTTTCCATGAACGTTGCATTATTTGTGTTCTAGTTTTCATGCTTGGTAAAGTTTTTGCCACAGAGGCCCGAGTAACCCGACGAGTATTCAGAGATTCCAAATTAAAAGTTTCAAGGGGAGTTTTACCACGAAGTTGATTAAAAGTTTCTTTGAATATTTGTCTGAAATATAAGTCAAAAACGGTGTCAATCTCAAACGAAAGTAGGATATATGTGTTGAGGACAGACGAGCTCAATGCCAGACTAGTGAAATACCAGACCAAACTCAAGGTCAGACTTGAGCAATAGAAACCTAATTAAAGGTCAACTGGTATAAAACTCAATGCACTCAGACAAGGTCAACTGGTCTGCTGGTATTTGATAAACTAATTAATTAACTGGTAATTAATTAACTGGTACTATTTGATGCTCAGTTTGTCGTGTCATTTTAAAAACACAATCTCAATTCATTCTTCAACAATCAGTATCTCTTCTCTCTCCTCAGTTGAAATCTCAGATAACTCTCAAACCTCTATCCCCTAGTCCTACTTGCTCTAACTCTGAATCTTAACATGTTATGGGCCCAGATTTCTAAACTTTTTGATTTAATAATTATTTGATTTCTGTCAGAGTTTTTTTTTTAGCTTTTATCTAGCCTTTAGCAAAGCAGAGATGGACTTGAAACTGGCTGGATTCAGTGGAAAGTCTGAAGATTTTCCAGCTTGGTCGACGAAGTTTGTGGCACTGATGCATACCAAAGGCCTGTTCAGGACTGTGATGGGCAATGACGATCTACCAGAAGCTGAACCTACGCTACCTGAGAATCCGAATGCTGACCAGATGACGGCGTACAACACCAAGATGCAGGAGCGAGCTGTGCTGATCCAGCAGAGGAAAGACAACCGAAACACAGTGTGGTCACATCTAGCTCTGGTCCTGAACAACACCACACTGATGTACATCAAGAACGACTGCGTGGCTGCGGATGGCTATGGCGATGGGACGAAGGCCTGGAGACTGCTGCAAGAGAAGTTTTGCAGTGTGGAGAGGCCTACAGTGGTCAGTCTAGTAGGCCAGCTTGCGAAGCTGCGCCTAGGATCAGAGGAGGATCTCGATGACTACTTCGTTCGAAGTCAAGAGCTGATGACGCGGCTGAGTGAAGCTGGGGAAGCAATTACGGACACACTCTTCAATGCGCTCGTGATCAACGGACTGCCTGACAGCTTTGAGCATTTCGTGGTGCAGGAGAGCTTCCAGCCGGCCAAGACTTTTACAGAGCTGAGAACGAGGTTGAGGAACTATGATGACTCGAGACGAGCTCGATGTGGAGAGAAGACTGGGAATGGACACATAGCTATGCAAGCTGTGAGGAAGAAGAAAGGAGCGTCGGGTGGTGGCTGTTTTGTGTGCGGTCAGAAGGGTCATTTGGCAAGAGATTGCAGATCCAGAAGTGACAGTGGTCAATCTGGTGCTCGAGGCAGTGGCTCGAATGAAGCAAGTGGTCCAACTTCAAGGAAGCAAGGGTGCTTCAAGTGTGGACAACAAGGACACTTTGCAAGGGACTGCAAGCAGGCAAAGACAGGGTTCTTCAGTTGTTGTGCAACAACCTCAATGAAGGGAGATGATCTCATTGTGGATACGGGATGCACCGATCATGTAGTGCGCGACAAGGCTGTCTTCTCAAGCTTTGAGAAATGGGATGAGGGGACAACAGTTGAGAATCCGAACGGTACAATATCAAAGATTGAGGGCATAGGCTCGGTGGAAGTGGACATACGAGACTGTCAAGATGTGACGAGGAGCTACACTTTCCACAATGTGCTGTTTGTGCCGAGCTACAACGTGAATCTGATGAGTGTGAGCTCAGCAATAGCTAGAGGGTCTAGTTTCAGCTTTACATCAGACTCTTCTCATCTTGTGGCACCGGATGGTCGACGGCTACCAGTGAAGCAGCGCGGCAAGCTTTTCTTCCTGGAGTGCAAGTTCAAGAGGAACGCGATGACTCTAGCTACGAAAGCGAAGATGGAGACAAGTAGTGCAATGCTGTGGCACCGAAGGCTGGGGCATCTCAACAAGCATGATCTAATATCAGTTGTTGATGTCGGCGAGCTAGGGTTCTGCGAAGTGTGCACAGCTTCGAAGATGCACGAAGTAGCAATGCCAAAGAAGACAGAGAACAGGGCAACTGCAGTGGGGCAGCGGGTCTTCAGCGACATCCAGGGACCATTTGAAGTTGCGAGCATGCATGGAGCGCGCTATGCCGTGAGCTTCATTGATGACTTCAGCCGTCTGGCAGTGGTCAAGTACCTGGTTAAGAAGAGCGATACTCTTTCGAAGTTCAAAGACTTTGTAGCTGAGCACGGAACACCGAAGTGCTTGAGAACTGACAACGGAGTATGGGTGGATGATATCATCATTGGCTGCAAACTGCAAGCAGAAGTTGACAGGGTGAGGGACCGATTCACTGACCGATTCAAGATGGATGATCGCGGTCCATTAGCCTGGTTTTTGAAAATGCAGGTCAAACGGGCACCTGGTTCTGTCACTGTGAATCAGTCTCGCTACATTGAAGACTGCTTGGAGCGCTTTGGGTTGGCTGACTGCAAACCAGTAGGGACACCAGCTGATATCAGCACTCAGTTGACGAAGAAGGACTGCCCTGGAGCGGGCTCAGAAGAAGCAGTGGCAATGCAGCGTGAGGACTACAGAGGCATAGTGGGCTCGTTATTGTACATAGCCAAGCAAACGAGGCCAGACATCCTAGCTACTGTGACTCAACTTTCACGGTTTCTGGAGAATCCTGGGAGAACACACTGGGTGGCTGCTAAGAGAGTACTGCGATACCTGAAAGGAACCAAAGATCTGGAGCTGTGCTACATCAAAGATCCTGATGGGTTCAACCTTTATGGTTCAGCAGATGCTGACTGGGCTGGTGACGTTGATGACAGAAGGTCAACAACAGGCTACAGTTTTCATGTGCAGCGGTCAGGAGCAGCAATCAGCTGGAGTACCAAGAAGCAACCTACTGCAGCAATATCTACCAGCGAAGCTGAGTATCAAGCAATGGCAGCGGCTGTTCAGGAAGGCCTCTACTTACGATCCCTACTCAATGAGATGGATATGACGTGTGATGGTCCAACTGTGATCAACGAGGACAACCAGAGCTGCATCAAGATGTGCAAAAATCCCGTAATGCAGAAGCGTACAAAGCACATTGATGTCAAGTATCACTTTGTCCGAGAGCGGGTCGAGGATGGAACATTTGCGCTCGAGTACTGTCCAACCGAAAACATGGAGGCTGACTTGTTGACGAAATCCCTGAGCAAGGCAAAGGTGGATCAACATCGTCGAACGCTGATGGGTTGCAGCCTGACATTGGACAAAGCCAATTCAGCCTGAGTGGGGGTGTTGAGGACAGACGAGCTCAATGCCAGACTAGTGAAATACCAGACCAAACTCAAGGTCAGACTTGAGCAATAGAAACCTAATTAAAGGTCAACTGGTATAAAACTCAATGCACTCAGACAAGGTCAACTGGTCTGCTGGTATTTGATAAACTAATTAATTAACTGGTAATTAATTAACTGGTACTATTTGATGCTCAGTTTGTCGTGTCATTTTAAAAACACAATCTCAATTCATTCTTCAACAATCAGTATCTCTTCTCTCTCCTCAGTTGAAATCTCAGATAACTCTCAAACCTCTATCCCCTAGTCCTAC